GGGGTTATATAGGGGATTATATAGGGGACTACTATAGGGGTTATTAAGGGGGATACTAGGAGTTTAGACAATGGCTCATATTAACATGGCTTAGACCATCTCTGACTGCTGGATCTGGTGGAAAACATTTTGCTGCTGAGGTCGCCATACCCAAACCCCCTAAAGGATCCAAAACATGGAACCCCCCCCCAATATGAACCCATTACTACATTGAGGAAACTAGGGGATTATTAGGGGGTTCCATTTTTTGGATCCTTTAGGGGGTCTGGGGTAGGTCTTGAGGTCAGTAGGGGTGCAGCTCCTGAGGCTTAGGGTTGGCAGCTATGGCTGATCGAAAAACTCTTAATAAATCAGAGGGATCAAAAGGTGGGATGAAGGTAGGTGGGTAAAGGGATCCTTGATATAATCTCTGCTATATTGGGGGCGAATTTCCTATACCCTACCTTCCTTCATCCCACCTTTTGAGCCCTTTGAATAACTAAAGGCAAGCAAGCCTGCGATATTCTCGGCGCGATAAGTGTAGGTTTATCAGGAAATCCCATGTGAAGTCATAAGGAGTATTTAAAGCTGTCATCGAGAGAGCCCACAACTAGCTAGGTAAGCATTTTACGAAACACAAGAGCCACCTAGTTTATCACCTTGTCACCTGAGCCATTGTTAACAAAAACTCCTAGTATCCCCCCTAATAACTCCTATAACAGTCCCTTATAGAATCCCCCTACATAATCCCCTTTAAGGAATTTCGACGGTAGCTCATCTGACTTCCATGTATTCTACCTAACCCCTACACTCTAAAACCTTTTTTTAAACCCCGGACTGACTGAGGTGCCGGCCTGACACCCTAAAGCCTAAACCTTACACCAGTTTTCATAGGGTTTAGGGTTTAGGGTTTGGGGGCTTAGGGTTTAGGATTTAGGGTTTAGGGTTTAGGGTTTATGTTTTGCTCAGGGTTTTGGTTGCGGTGTGTGGGCTTGGAGCATGTCGGGCTTGGGCTGGACGTCAATGGTTTTGTGTAGGGTGTCGAGTTTGGGGCATATGGTATAGGGTTTGGGGTTTAGTGAACAGGGATGTGTGTTTTAGTGTAGAACATACAGGGTTTAGGGTTTCCTGTGAGTGTAGAGGGCGCTGCGGTTGTTGGGTGTTGAGTTTAGGGTTTCGGGTTCAGGGTTTAGTTGCCGGCGTTGAACGGTTTCAGGGCCTGGGCTTCCGCATATTAGACGTGGCACTTTGGGATTTGGAACCTTCAGGGATTGGGGTGCTATGGGGCCTCCAGATGTTTCAAGACAACCGTGCCGCCGCGATATGGTAATTTCCGAAAAACTAGGATCCGCTTATGTACCTCAATATTTTGTCAAGGCACGCCAAGTCCTAAACCCTATGCATCCCAATATTACATCCGAAATATCCCCTATAACCCCTTTAAAGGTATCCCTCATTTTGGGAAACCCCCATATGCCGAGGGCTGTATCTACAGCAGCCTCCTGCAGCAAGCCCTGCGCCCTTGCAAGCCCCCCTTCGCACCTTGGCTTAAGGTTTACGCTCTACAGTTGAGGGTTTAGGGTTTAAGCTTTAGGGTCTAGGGTTCAGGGTGTAGGATTTAGGGTTTAGGGTATAGGGTTTAAGGTATAGAGCTTAGGGTTTAGGATAGCTCTTCACTCCTTTTGTAAAAGGCTACCCTTCATCTCTGGGCCCTTTGGCCCCACACCTTTGGCGTACACTTATATTGGGGTTATATTGGGGTTATGCTAGGGGTATATTAGGGTTATATTGGGATCATATTGGGGTTATATTGGGGTTATATTAGGGTTATATTGGGGTCATATTGGGGTTATATTAGGGTTATTTTAAACCCCTTTACAGCCAAACCATAGCGCTGAGCCCACCAGCTCTGTTGAACCTGAAACGGGGTGTGGGGCTCAGGGTTTAGGATTCAGGGCTTACGCTAGACTGCAGTCTAAGGGACAGCAGCAAAAGCCCTTCCAGGCACTCTTTCGGGCCCCTAAACCCTCAACCCTATAGTCCCCCTTAAGTAGATAGATTATGGGGTATATGAGAATCTTATTATACTATACCCAAAGCCATATTCTATCTACTTAAGGGGGAGTATAAACCCTAAACCTTCAACCTTAAACCCAAAACCCAGCCGCGGCTTCCTAAGCTCGTGGCAGGTCTGGAACCGTCATGGTCGAACGGTGCTCATTCAGGAACTCCTGACCTTGAACTGTTTTCTTAAGGCTTCGTATCTGCTGCCCCATGGAGGTTTAGGGTCGGTCCTTAAACACGATGGACATTCCGAGAACAGAATGACGGGGGCACTCAGTAGTCTTGCTAGAGGCTAGGGTTCAACCTGAGAAAACGCGCAGTGGGGCCTATCGGCTGCCTTGGAGTGAAAGGTAGACGGAACCCTGAAGCCTGCGTCTCTTTTGGCACGTTGGCTTCTCAGTCTGAACTGCAAGCAGACCGACTTTCAATAGGGGACCCTGGAGTTCATCTGGAAATTCTTCGCACTTCTCACACACTTTGGGTTCCTTTTGGGTGGGCTCCTTATGGGAGCAACTATAGTGTTTCAGGTGGTATATACGAGGTACCTACTTTTGAGAAATACCCAAATAGGGTTCAGGGTGTAGGGCTGTGGACTCAAGGTTTATAAGGGTTTCCTCGATGGTTGTGCACGTGCTTACCAACCCCAAGGCCCACTAAAGCAGTTGTCGAGGGAGGAAAACATGATTGACGGCCGCTGCGCACCTGGTGGAGCCCGAAGCACAAGAGTAGATCAACCCCAAACCTGTTCCCTAAGACCCCAAATCCAGAAAACTAGGATCACCATCAGGCGGCTTAAACGGGCAAGCGTCATTCACGAAGTGCTCCGAACAGAGCGTTCAAATCTTGGGTCCCTTCGTGAGGGATGGCTTCAGGGAGATATGAGGATAATGTAGGGGTTGCCGGTGTAGAATTTCTCCAAATTACGGTCCGACTCTGGCATCCTCACCATAAGGACAATTGCAGCATTTTCCCGGTCGCTCAGGCTGGAAGGTGTGCGGCGCATGGCTGAACTAATTCAGATACTCAGCTTGGGGCTCAAATTTTAGGGTATAGGGGGGACCCCAATATAGCATATCAAATACCCCAATGATGGAGAGCCAAATGGAAAGGAAAATCGAACCCGACATGAAAAGTGGGGTCGTGTTGAGGCTGTTTCCCTAAACAGGGGGACCCCAACATATCCCCCAATATACTATAATCCTTATTGCAGGGACCTCCAAGAAATACCACGTCACTATTCTTGGGCAACCCCCAAATAGTCAGCCGCCGCAGAAAGGAAAAATTGAGGCAGTGTTTCAAGTTAAGGATTGAGCAAGACATAGCCCAACTTTTCGCCGCGGAGGCTTGCGCCTTCGGCACAAGTCCCACACAGCATTTGAAGAGGTGTACATGTGATGCGATTTTGGAGAATGACTTGGATGCATGCGCGCCCTACAAACGCAAGGTTCGCCAAACCCTAAACCCTCAACAAATCCTAACCCATAGTACTCCACTATGTAACGCCCTCAAGGAGTCAGCTCACAAGTGTTGAGAGATAAGCGCATCAGAAAGATAGATGTAGTCCTTTGGAGGATCGGCAAGCAGCTGCTTCAACCTGGCATTTCTTCATGTGAGGATCTACGTGGCCCTCTCCCATAGACCCTCTTCTAAGCATCCCCCGAAAGAAGAACATTATTTTTTTGCAAGACCCTAAACTAAACTCCCCAAATTTAAGCCATAAGCCCCAAACCTCCATCCAGAAACCCTGATCCCTGAACCCTAGACCCTGTCTACTCCCGGTAGGAGCACCCACAAGTGTAGGAAAATCCGACCTGCGGCTCTTCGCAAAGTCAATGGGGCGAAGACCCCGATGGTTCAGAATCTCTGGATCTGCCCGTGCCTGCGCCAGGATAGGATTTCGACATGCGCAGCGCACTGCAGGCATGCCTTGGGGCTTGGGAGTTTAGGGTTCGGGTGTGTGGATAGATGAGAGGTGTAGAATTATAGTCACCCTTAAGAAGATAGAAAATGGCTTTGGGTACATTATAGTAAGATCCCGACATACCCCATATTCTATCCGCTTCAGCGGGGCTATATCACGATATTGTTGCACTTGCCTTCATCAAGAACATGGCCAGGTCCTGACAGCCATACCTGTGCTTGAAGGGTCGAGGTTACCATAGCCTAATGAAGACCCCTGATCAATAAACCCCCTCCCCTCAATAGGGATTATCATAGGGATCCTAATATCTAGGCCCTTAAAAGGAAGGGGTTTATTAATCATAGGTCTACATTATGAGTACATGTAGCTACAATCTGGGCCGAAGTCGCCCCATTCCCTAGTCTGTAGTCTCCTTAGACCTATTATAAAAAAAGACAACTAATATTTTCTTAGGGTTATACTATAATAAAAATTGAAAATGATTCCTAAGGACAGTGCAGTAGTTACCCTGCCCTAATTCTCATTGCGTGCTGGGTTACACCCACGGCATATAGACAAACACACCCCTCCCAGTATCGGATAGACCTATGACACAAATGAAAAATCCCAAAAGCGCTACCAAGATACAAAACGCTGATGCCCAAGGAGTTGCTGGACATGTTGCTGAACATTCTCACCGTCCAAGGCGGCTCCGCGCTGCACAGACTGTATCCACGGCAAAACAGCTCAATCGCGCGCCAAATTCCTTCTGGTTCGTAGCGGCGGTTGATATCTGCCTTGGGTTCATATGGCCCATGAACCTAGGCCCTACAACCCCCGACCCTTGGTTTCCTCTTCACACTTGTTTGCGACCCACGAATCACCCATCGAGATCCTAGCACGCTGGGGCGTACCATAGCATGGGTCAATCTTCCTATCTGTACCCTATGCATGTACAGTTTCCATGTCAAGTTCCGTGTGCTTTTCCATGCGATTCTCCATTATTGGAGTAAGATCCCTCAAACCCCCATATAATTAATCCCCATAGAAAACTTTCTCAACCGACCCCGGCCTTGTAGTCGATCAGCAGCTGAGCCACCTCGACCAAGTGCGGATTGGAGTTGCCAGTCAAGCCAAGAAAGGCTATCGGTGGAGAGCCCCCCGGGTTTCCATCCGGGTCTGCCTGGAGCTCCAGCAGCTTAGCCACTGCTTCCGGGGGAGCAGCCTTCATGCACATAATATGGATGGGTGGCCACTTCAACTTCGATGTAGCCGCATTCACTGATGCCCCATGCTGAACCAGAAGCTCAACAGCACCTGCACTTGAGCAGAAATTCAGAGGTGCTGGTGTTGTTGGTGCATCTGCATGCACATCAGCCCGCAGCTGCAGGAGGGTCTGGAGCGGGCGCAAGTCCGTGGAGCCAAACCAACAGGCTAAGTGCAGAGGCGAGAAATCAGGCGGAACGCCTATGAATTCCTGGGCTGCACTCAATCTTGGTGATCAGCAGGACACAGAGACTTCCGAAAGCAGGGCTCCCCTCTTTGGCTTCCTAGAACTGCAGGGATTAACACTACATTTGGGGAATTCAGGAAACCTACATCTGTGGCCGTATTGACAGTCAGCCGAAAACAGCCCGGCTGCATCCGCCCTGGTCCGCGTTTGCAGCGAAGCCCTAGCCGAAGCAAGGGTCTGTACCATGGGGCAGTCCCCAGATAGAGCGGCACAGGCCACCTGAGTTGCTGTTAAGGAAACTAACGTAAGTTACCATTTTGGGTACCAATATATATACATATATATAAATCAATATGGTCTCCCTACCGTAACCTAAGTTCCTTAATAGCAACCCAGCCACAGGACCGATACCAGGTGTTTTCCAGCAATTCTGCAGGCTTCCAAATCCAAAATCCGCCAAGAACTTGTCCAAGCTTCGCTGCTGCAATGGCAGGCCTAGCATGTCCTCCGAAATGTCACAGCATAGCTTGGGTACTGCCCCCACCCTGTAACAGTCTATGATAGGGGCCATATAAAGGGCTCTATATA